ACAAAAATTTGGTAGACTCAAAAATGTGTGATATGTTTGGGATAAAAAATATTCTAGTAAAGCTTATAAAAAAGAAGGGTTTAACTTCTTATAAGAGTGATAATAGCTTATACATTTTTTATGAAGCGCTTTCAACCGGATAAATAACTTAATAATAACAAAAGACGGAAAAAAGAAAATGTTCACAAAGTGTCCCTATGATATGAGTATGTGATGTCGTTAGAAAATGCAAAAACCTCAAACAGTTAGGATAGTTTAGAGGTCACCGTATATATGTTTTTGAAATCCAACGCACGTTTAAGGACGTTCCGAAATGATTTGCAACTTATCTTATATGTGAAATTAACTAAGATAATTCCCATACAAGCTTAGAATGCTTGAACCATTTTTGAACCGTTTCCAATTGCTTATAATATATTTTAGTTGTTAGTGTGGTGATCCACCTACTATTGTTACTAATCACACCATAAAACAATATTAAAATTAAATCTCACTTCATCACCCCATACATTATTACATCACAACACGAACTAATCTCTTATACATTATATCATATCCAACTACAAGCACTATTTTAGTGCTGTGTAACTTATCCATCAAACTAAATTCATAATCCGATTTCTCTTAACATATATAAATATGCAAACTGATAGTTAGAATAGAACCCTCAATCTTTGAATCTACTTTTACTCTTAATAAAACTTATAAGCAGTCTCAAAGTATTTTATTGTTTTTCTCTTTTTTAATCTATCCTCGACTATCACAGTTAGTTAAATGTAATCAGTGAACTCTTAAGTGTCGGATCTGTATTGATAACGGACCGGAATTCCCTGAAGTATCGCATAACAACGGATAGCGGACCGGAGTGCCCTGAAGTCAACGGATTTTCAGGGATAACGGACCGGAATATCCTGAAGTCAACGGATTTTGAGGGATAACGGACCGGAGTACCCTAACGTCAACGGATTTTCAGGGATAACGGACCGGAGTACCCTGAAATGAACGGATTTTGAGGGATAACGGACCAGAGTACCCAAACCTATTGGATCTTGACGGATAACGGACCAGAATTCTCAGATTTGTATGATTTAGGCTGCTGACATGAAACAAAATATATTGAGATCTTAAATAGGAGATGTACTAATATGGACAAGGTCCGTTGTTTTTTTAAAATGTTTTTTTATCAATATTTTTTTCCTAAATTGAATTTTGTCAAAAATAATGTTGTCATATTTTGTTATTATTAAACTATTATTAATCTACTGCTTAAAAATGAAAAATTTGTGGGCATCGAATGTGAAGCCTCCAAAAATAAACGGTCCTAAAATGGACTACTAAAATGCCAAAATACAAAATAAATTTTATAACTGCTTCCTTACCTTAATTTTTTTAAAATGAACAATCAAAACAACAACAACAACCCTATCAATCACCAATTTATTGAAGTGACACCGAATCGTGTAACCTATGGTAGCAACCGTCCCATGTTACTACTGTCTCAGAAGAACAGGAGGATCCTGTCGTCGTTCCTGCTGCTGCTGCCGTTTCCTCTGCTGCACCTGCTACTGCCACTGCTGATGCCACGGATGCTGCTGCGACTATTAAGTTTCGGATACCAGATACACGCGCTCAAAATGGAATTCAGCAAGCACCTTTGCTCTTATTGAATTGCATGCTGATTACAACAACCGGTTGGAGTCCAATCGTACGCTAGCTAAACAAAATGAGTTGTACCGTGCATGTTGCACTCATTCAAGACAAAAAACAGCACCAATGGAAGATGACTTTTGAGTCCATTGAAGTCTAAGTGGTATGCTCTACGTGCTGCTTTCAGACATCGTAATGATAGGTTGAATCCAACTGGTACGGTACCGATTGAAAACTGGTTTTACCATGATGCGATGGAGAACCCTACCAGTGAGATGCTCACCGTGACGCCAACTACTGTGTATACCTCTCTTGCTGGAGAGACGACAGATAATCGTGGTGAAGTTGCTGTGCTAGACAAGTAAGTGCCGTCAAAAGCGATGGTGCTGAGAAGGGTGTGGTTCGTGGGGCAGCCAGTTAAAGTAGAGCGGTCAACCAAACGATCGAGCATCTGGTCACCTCCATGAATGAGATCGAGGCACGTCGTTTGGATCATGGAGAGTCGGAGCGTAGAAAGTTTGCTAAATATGTTGCTCGTTCGACAACGTTTCTCGGTCAGATGTTGGAGTCCGTGGCGAAACTGGACCAGATGCAGTCTCGCATTGCTGAGTAGATGCAGGTCGGTCTGAATATCCAGTGCCTGATGCTAATGGTGATGAAAGGGGATTTTGGCTCAAGCAACAACAACGCCACCAGCTACAATCCCTTTGAAAACGGTGACTAAAATTACACCAACAACACCAGCCCCTACTTCCGCGCAGATGTCAATGGTGTTCCTGTCGCCAATGACTATCAGTTCAACAGTACTTCTGCCAGCAGCACCAGCGCGTACAACAACACCGACGCCAGCAACATCGTCGTCAGCAGCACCCTTCCCAACAGCATCCTCCCATACAAGCCCCTCTGCCAATGATATGACGATCGATGGCAGTGTCACGACGGTTTCTCCTGTTCCGTCAGACTTGCTGGATATCATCTATCCTTCGTCCGATGAATATAAATTTCATAACATCCACTAAAATATAATGGGGTTTTTTCTTCAATAATAAATTTGTTTTATTTTTCAAAACATTTTGGTACTTAACACATTTAAGGAAAAGCTGCATTAAAGATGCGCAAGCGGGCTCGGTTACCTATAACACATGTATCACCCTGCTCTCCAACTACAAGACCAGCAGGCTCAAGAAACACACCATCGAAACCTAGCTCCCCTCTTGCCGTTCATGCATTGTGTAGAATAGCACACGACCCGATGATATTATTGATATCCAAATTATCATACACGTAAATATGAAATTGTGTGAATCTCCGCCGATGAACGAACTTACCAAAAGTTCTTTCAATGGCCAATCTTCTGGTTGAATGCGAATAGTTGAATAACCTCTTGCGCAGATCCCGGAGACATTCACCTTCAGGGAATGGTGTAACCAAAATGGCAATGGTCGGATAGGCCGAATCACCGAGAAAATAAGATCCATTAGGGAAGTAATGCCCAGGATTGGTCATAATCTTCAAGCTGAGATCACTGGAATTATAGGCTGAGGCGTCATGACTTCTGCCTAGTGTATTAAAAATAAATTAGCTTCCAACTCTCATATTTATATTGGTCATTATTACCAGAGTCTCGTACACGAATGTAAGTAAACCTACATGTATCGTCACAAACAGCGGTAAGTCTAATGGTGTAGTTGTTTTTTCTGTCACGGAACCCTGCTCCATAAGCGACTGGAGTTGGCTTACGAATGGTAAAGTTTTTGCCATCAATAGCACCAATTGCATCAGGAATACTCACACCAGGACCTTTGTCGAATCTAGCAGATATAGCACCCACCATGGATGAGTTCGTAGGCTAATCAATCATATAGCCAAGCACATCCTTGATGGCCTTCACCGTATGCCTCGTGAAATTGGTATAGCAGCCATACGAAACACCATACAGGACATACATGTTTCTAATCCAAGATGACAATTGGCTAGTCTCAAAAGAAAGGTAGCTATCTGGATGTAGATAGGAACGTGGTTTGGTGTCTTGAAATCAAATTCGGGATGAGTAGACAACCTGTTGACAAGCCAATTGAAAGAGTCCCTTCCCATTCGATATGTGGCACGGAAGCTATCAACTTGGTTTTCGTCGTCGTCGTTGAGGTTGGGATGTTGTACCTCCCAAAAAGTGTATCTTTCAGACACTCTTGTGGCACCCACACCGACAGTTCGCGTTCTGGTGATAATTGCCCCGGTCATGAACAAAGGCATGGAAGTAATAGCCATTCCAAATTGACTCGTAAAAATCGGCAGCAAAAAAGTCGTACTGCAATTGCTGTTCTCTAAGCAAATGCACATTACTGACAGTAAGGTGCAGAGGTCTACAATTTTTGGTTCTCGGCAGCAATGCTTTCTCTAAATGCATAAAGAACATCTTGTTGTTGGCTTAACATTTTAAAAAAGAGAAAAATTTGTTGGTCAGTTTGAGAATTTATTGAGAAATTTAATTGAAACAGAGAAGACGAAAAAACAAAAGGTAAAACAGGAACAAAAGAAAAAAAAATCTTGCCGATTTCTTAGCAAAATCGAATTGCACTAGTTCCAGGATAATATTTATTTTTATTTTTTATATTTTTTTAAAAATCAGGTTTTGGAAAAAGATTGACCTTCAAAAAAAAAAAAATTAAAAAAAAACGGCTCTTGTCTACATTAGTACATCTCCTATTTAAGATATCAATATATTTTGATCGATGTGAGCATCCTAAACTTGTTTCTTCTAAAAATAGAACCCAGTCAGGAAAATGAGGTTTGTGTAGATGCCGGTATTTAAACGTACTTTTTACAATGGCTACTGATGTCTAGAGCTCAAGAGTAGTATTATTCGATAGCTCTCATTTTTGTACATTTAAATCAAAAAATGGTATACGCATCCAAATCAAATTGCTTGTCGCTATGGGAACAAGGGAAGACGACATTGAACTAGAAAGACCGTGGGACCAAGAGACCAAGAGACCAAGTGACCAAGTGACCAAGTGACCAAGTGACCAAGTGACCAAGTGACCAAGTGACCAAGAGACCAAGAGACCAAAAGACCTAGAGACCAAGAGACTAAGATAACAAGAGACGGAGAGAAAAGTTTATAAAAAGTATTAAAAGTGAAAGAAAGATGAAAAAAGGCCCCCTATTTATACTTTTTTTTCAACTGCTGCGCCCCAAATTTTTTTTTTAGGGTAAAAACATTTTATCACGCCATATTTAAAAATTGACGCAAAAGATTTTTAAAAGAAAAAGTATGAAAGGGGGTTCTTTTCCTTTTCTCTCTTCTTTCTTTCTTTTTTATTTTTTCATAAACATAAATTTATTTTTTAAACATGAATCTCTCTAACGAACTTTTTGCTACTGCTCTCCCTCGTTCTCAAACTTCTTCTTCTGCTAATGGTAAGTCTATTTTTTATTTTTTATTTTTTAGTTGTTACTTATACATACATATATAAGCTGTACGTCGTGCCCATTCTCAGGATATCCGTTCCTCTACCCGTCCTGCCTCTTTGACTTCCGACGTCACTCCTGCCCAGGTTAGTTTGAACTCTGATTCAGATACTGAATCCAACTATGACGATGCTGCTAGTAACTTCGACAGTGACTCCGACTGTGTTGCTTCCTCCGTCGTTGTTGGTAAATTCGCTGGGAGAGAATTCGATGATAGTGAAGATGATCGCGAATTAAACGACGATAGTCAGGTTGTTAACTTTGCCAACGTCGTATCAATTCTGGAGAAATCGTCCGAACATGATAGTAAGTAAAGACATTTATATATTTCTCTTTTCTTTTATTAACACGTGTTTATTATAAGATGTTGCCTCATTTACCTATTTCCTTGCTCCTGTCCATGGTGCTGTTGATTCCAAGGGCTGATATGCCAGATTGTTTGCTGGTCGTAACAATAGAATTGTTGACCAAGATGAGGTCTTGATCGTGAACAGCACCGATTTTGTTGAAGAACTGGAAATCTGTGAAGTAAATGTCGATGCCTTCATCACTCACGGCTTGCGTAACATTCCCTTGCTCCCGGATAACTGTGTGCGCTTTTACCTGAGCCCTCCCTTTAGTACTCGTATCACTCGTTTGGATTACGGCACGTATGAGCACCACAATATCAAGATGCCTGTTAAGGACTACCATCACACGTTACGTTTTACGATGGATGGCCAATGCCATCTGGAAATCCATATCATGTTTCCAAACATGAAGGAGCTTGGTGTGGAAATGCGTACTGAAACCTCTATACCATGATCAATCTCTGCTAAATTTCTTGAAAAGGTACCAGGCTGTCTTGTTTTTTTTTTCAGAAAATCCAAAATATGAGTTTAATAGCCACATGAATTAACCCCGATAATAGAACCAGTAGATATAACTATCGGCATTCTGAAACTATTGGAGAGCCACTTGTGCTAATAGTAGTTTGTCTTGAAAACTGCAAGACGAAATAATTCGTGTATTTTTTATTTTTTTAATTTCAACAATTTTTCTGCGGGCAAAATATTTAAACACACCTTCTAAGTAAAAACCATTTATTTTAGAGCGATTTAATAGGAGTCACGGTAAAGCAATTGTCCAAGCTCAACTTTAAACACGAAGTGGTTTTAAAATTATTAGTACTTTTTTTATACGCGAATATATACTCTATCTGTTTCGCCTGCGGCATTAAAAAATATTTAAACACCATACGGTATCACGAAAAAATGTCAACGGGTCCGCACTTGTTTATTCAGAAATTCCTTAATTTAGATTTAATAATATTGTTATGCGATCAAGATGACAAGGGTTTCAATGCAGCAAAAGTCAGAAAAAGATTTGACAATTAGTAACTGTTGTTAAGACACTGGTATTATTTCTTAAAGGATAACGTGAATATAGTTTATTAACACTGGAGTTAATAATAAAGTAGTTATGAAAGTGAGCACCAGATTGGAAGTAGTCAACTTAAGAAATCTTATAATATAGAGTTTTTAGGATAAGAAGATAATCAACGATGATTTTAAGAGGGCGTAATTAATATAAATATAAACTGATTGCCAAGATTAAAAAGAAAAGTAATTATGTTATTATAAACAACATTTTATATACCGTTTTAATAATAAAGAGATTCAAGTCCTAGTGTGAAATATGAACTTTGAGTTAATTGTTGTATGAAAAGTATAGACTTAAGATAAACAAGAAGTATGAAAGTTGAGGGAAACACAAAGGAGTCAATTACAAATTATTAAGAAAGTAGATTTTTAGTTAAGATAAACCTGAAGTAATATTTATTAGAAAAAAAAGCGACGTATTTATAGAAAAGATCCTATCCTGTGTAACACCAAGTCAATTTAGATTGGCTGCAACACCATGTCTAATGTAAGTGAGATATTAATAACTTAATCTGTACCCATTTTGACTCTTTACAACTTACTTTCGGATTCTTTTGAACCAGTATCCTTAGTTTCTCCCTTTGCGCCGTTTCCGGTTTGCAAAAAAAGGAAAACTGCTTTACTATAATCGACCATGTATTTCTTCATTCGTCCACGAATGTCTTCCATCGTACGGTAAGTTACCTTTTTTTCACAAAAATAATCTAAACACTTTAAGGTTAATCTTCTCTTGGACATATAAACTCTATATGCGCCTTTTTGGTTTTTGGTTGGTGTGAGAAGGTTCAAGTTTTTTGCATTATTATCCAAAAGGAAAACAAGAAGGCGGGCATCTGATGACAAATCATCATCGCCTGCTACATCAGTTTCCTATTCAACTTTGGCCTTGTTTGTTTTGGTAGCTGTGTTGGGCTTGGAAGGTGTCTCCTCTGGTTTAGTAGTTGTCTTTAATGGCTTGACAACTCTTGGCTTTGGGTTTGGCTTGACAGGTGTTTGCTTGGAATTGGTACTACGCTTGGTCATGTTAATAGTATTAAAGAAGTCTATTATTGATCCAGATTAAAACGTTCTTCTTTTATACTTTTAAGATAGACACAAATAACCAATCGCTGACCTGAAATCACATTGAGTCATCAGTAGCGGATGTTATATTGGTTGCAAACATGCTCATTAATTCTATGTCTTTGTTCGCCACTTTTCTATCTTATCTAAAATTGATACGACTTATCGGATACACATTTATAATTTTTATTGCTTATATTACTAATACATACAGTCATACTTGATCATTAAATGTGGCAATGATTTGATATTTCGTGTTTTTTCTCTGCATTTATAAAATGGGATAGTTATCAGGGGAAATATGGGGGTCTCTATTTGAAAAAGTGGGAAAGCGATTTTATTGGATAAAAAAAAGTTTCCCATTTTTTTGGGAAACTTTTTTTTTTCAAACTGAGACCCCTTAATATGTCAGTTCGTGGATTCCGCCGCATGGAAAGGAAAATAAAAATCCTGGACTTTGTGATGATAATTGACTGAAAACATGACGACGTCGTCTCAAGTCCGATGGTAGAGAAAAGAGTACGGAAGAAGATGACAGAAAAAGAAGCAGAGGTACATGGAGTGTTACGAATAAGAGCAAATGTAAGATTCCAAGGAAGGGCCATACTTGATAAGTGTGGTTCAGTGGTAGTCTATCATTTTAATACACCAAGTAAATTATATTTTTGACACATGTTTTATTTAATTGATGTCATGTTATGTTAGATAAAAGGGGTAGAGTTGTAAAGGGAATGATGATAAATTGGAAAAGAACCTGTTTGAAAGATAAAAGACTAAAAATAAGACAAATTTAAGATGATGTCAGTTTGATAAGAAAACAAGATAAACGAGTGATGACGGGATGGAATGTAGTCAAGATAAAGTCTTGTTAAAGGGGGTGATGTGGTCATGGGATGAAATGATGTATCATGGGAAAATGAAAGAAGATAAACTGGATTTCATGCGACGTGAGAAAAAAAGACATGATACATGTTTGGCTGCTATTATTAGATAAATGATTTCAAAAAGATATAAAATAAGATTTTTCTTTTACGAAATGGTTTATTATTTCTTTCCCAACTATTATCTTGTTAATACACTAAATGGACCCTACTATTCGGAGACAATTTTTAGAATACTTGCAAAACGAGGTGAATAACATTGCTCGAGACTTATTTGACTTGCTGGAGGAAGGTGGAGTTCGCTTTGTGTCTGAGAACAATCGAATATTCTTTGGACATATGGTTCATGGGCATTTAAATTTGGCCAATCGTGCCATTGACATTGTTCCCTTGTTGCGTCGAGACGAAGGAGGAGAGCCTGTCTTGGCCCCGTTTGTGGAGGAACCTGTGGAGGAACCTGTGGAGGAACAACAAGGAACTCGACGTAATCAACGTGTTGAGGAGGTTATGACGCGCCGACTAATCCGACATGACACGGAGCGATATCTGACGAGGTTGACTAAATGCTCCAACATTATCAGCAACATGATTCGTGGAAATGGGCCTGGTAATCAGTTCAATGATATGATGCGATCCAGAAACATTGGGCAATACACGACTTTGTTGATAAACATGTGTTTTGTTATGAACGATAACACTAGCAATACTCGCGTGTTAAAAAATATTTTTTGTATGATGATGCGCGTGATGTATAACGAGTTTACGCGAAGATTGGTTCTAGGAGGGCTTGCGGCCAGACGATTGATGATCCAAAATGGCATTCCAGGACTATCATTTACGGCGAATTTGAACCGCGGTGACCGCGTAGAACGTGTCCATGAAGAGGTAGGAATGGCTGAGGTGATGGCAATTGAACTCCTGACTATAAGAAGCTACAGGGGTAGTTTTTGGACTTTTGAAGAGGAACTGGACCTCTTGTTGCAACACCCATTGGCAGATTCCCTACAAAATCTGCCTATTCCGGCAACCCAATGGATTACGGATAACATGAGAGCGCAGTTGACCAGGGTGACTGACGTGGAGGTCGCATTGACGGCGCCCAATGGGATTTATGAGCAAAACATGGATATGAATAATTTCTTTTAAAATTTCTTTTTTTGTAATAAATATGTCTGTTCCACTACTATTTCTAGTTTTGTTTAAACATGACGATGTGACACGTGTGAAAGGGAGTCTTTTTTTAGATTATGAAAGAGTTTGTTTTTTTTGCGAGAAATTTGATCCAGAATAATAGGCTTTCTCACGGCAATAAGTTCTTGTATGTTGTCGTTAGTCTATTTTCGTAATGTGGTTAGTGTTGGGTTTTTTGTGAAGTGTGGCCTGAAATGCGATTTATGTTTAAAATGGGGTTCCGATTTATAAATGTGGGAAAATTGGGGACCTTTTTTATGATTTATAAAAGTAAGATTTTAATTGGGTTTTGTTCTTTTTTCATTCTACAATTAAAACTTTTTTATAATATGTGTAATATTCGATGTCTAAGAGACAATAATTTCAATCAAATATAATATACTTCTTTTTTAAATGCTTAATTTGCTCTTGTATATATATTATATGTTCATGTTTGTTAAGTCGGTGATTTGTATTTGTTGTATTAGTGATTCTTATATGTTCCGTATTTACATTAGAGTAGTTGTTATTATGGTGAGATAGTCTTGTGATACACCAATATGAATAAAGCTACAAAGGAGTATATAACCATCATGATCCAGGAGGCGTTGCGAGAAGAGTCTGTGACTGGTTTGAGGGACTTGAGAGACATTCTGGACAATAGCGGTGCTTGGTTGTGTGGACCAGTTCATTGAGAGGTTGTGTTGACGACGCGTCGCGAAATCCAGCTGGTGCGTGATACTGTTAGTATTCGTGTGCATGTGTATGCCGATAAGGAAAGAACTGACTGGTAAGGTATGACGGTGGTGGAACTTAGGAAGAGTCAGGAGGAACGCCAAGTGCGAGAGGAGGAACAAGCGGAGGTCGAAATGTTCTTCGAAGTTGACTTGGAACGGGTGTTTGGTTCTCAGATTACCGCTCTTGAGGTAATTGAATTGAGTGACGATAATGTCATGGATGACGCGGAGATGCGTTTTGTAACGATCAAGCTCGTGACAATAATGCGTAAGAATACGACTGACGCTTATTTTTCTGTGTTGGCGGATCGTGCTGCCTTGTTGGATACTGTAACAACAAGAATTGGAACAAAAGATGCCTTTGAGACGTTGTTGCAGGCGGATAACTTGCAAATGTTTACGTCCTATTTGAACCAGTTGCAAGCTACTTTGACTGTACGAAAGAGCGCGGGTTATGTGATGACAAATATTTTGTGTTGGTATCATTACTTGTTGGTGATGGAGTCCAAATAACGACCGGCCCACCTGCCGGTCAAGATTTAAATGACGACCAGTCAATCGGCCGGTCAAGATTTAAATGACGACCAGTCAATCGGCCGGTCGACAATTAGAAAACAAACATTCACTCCACCGGTCGCCAGCAAAAAATCCCTCAATGCTAATAAAGGTTCCCCGTATGTCTGGTTATTTGCGTCGTAACTGATGCATCGTTAAAATGATTCCATGTCTTTATAAATCAGCAGTTCTAACGAGCTGCTTTACAGTTTAAAAGAGCCAGCTATTCGTAGTAATGTGTAGTGGGTTTTAGGTTTATAAAAAGAAAAAGAAAAGATTTTTTTAAGATTTTATTAAATACTCACCGGAGCATCACTCAGAAAAAGGATTGTTTATTATTTATAAATGAAAAAGAGATTGTTTACTATAAAAAAACTATTCTTGACAACCTGGAGGAATATGGGCAAAGAGCAGCTTGCCCTTCACTACAACAAATTTACCATCAGCTCCAATTTATGGGATGATACGAAAAGTATCGAAACAGGCACGGTGGAGTAATTGATGAAAGTGAGTAGCTTCCCTTTCCTCGACCATCCATCATCAGGTTGGCATATACTACACATTTGTACGCCAGATACCAACCTTTTTGAATTGGTTTTGGACCCTACCATCCACCATGGCTTGAGCGAAAGCCAAACGTCGGTCGTCAGGAATAGGAAAGACCAAGCAAAAGTACTGGATGCGGTTATCCACCTGAACACTTCTGATCTTGACCCGGACCTCAACGCTGTCATCTCTTTCTGCCAGTTTCAATATGGAGAAGGCATCTTCAAAATGGAATATTTCCACCAGATCCACGGCGACGTACGTTCTGCTGGACTGCAACATGGACGAAATGTCAGATACGTAATAACGCAGAACAAGGGTGTGTGCTTGTTTGTTTAAAGAAAGAGCAGCGCAAAAAACATCCAGATGAGGCACCATGCCCTGATTAAGGCTTCCCTACAAGGCCTTTCCAAAAACATTGCCGACAGGTGGTGTTCGCATGGTTGCCTTTTGTCTTTTAGCAATTGGTGACTCTGGCATGGGGATAGCTCTTTTCGTAGATTGCTCTTGGCATATATCCATAGCATCATTATCATCCGAAAGGACGGGCATCCTACTTGCATGAGGCATATGTAGCATAGGTGATCTTGTTGGCATGGCCGAATTGGACATGGAGGTGGATGGCGTGTTGCCAACGTTGAATTCATGTTTTTCGAACATGACTTCTTGCTCGTGATTAACTTTACCTTGTTGCTTGAAGATCCAGTATGAACTCTCTTGCTAGAAAAAGACTTGGTAGGAATAGCTACGGGGAAAAAAGAGGATTAAAATTAGGATACATATTTCATTCTTTCCAATTAAAACCAGTGGGCCGGTTAAATCCTATCAGTCTTTCCGGGGGCGTTTTCTACATCAGCGGACCCAATCACGTGCGGATAATATAATAAACATATTTTTATTTTTTAAAACTTTACGAATATTGGATCGTGGTAGGATGTTAAAGATATATATCTTCCACTTTGTTCTACATCAAAGTTTACAAAAATATTATCTATATGAGTACCCTTGTTTGTTGTACTAAATAAGTCAGGAAGTGCGGATTTAAGATTATATCTACAAAACATCTCATACAGTGCAGTACGTTTGGGTGATGCTTTGCTCAAATCCACATTAAAATCTCCTCCAAGAATAATTTTTTCACAATTCAATTTGCATAAACAATTGTCCAATTCCATTAACGCAGATGTTAGATTACATCGTGGCGAGATATAGAGAGACAGAGCAGATAGGGAGTCACTCACAAATCCTGCTATTGAAATTGAGCCTTCATCATCTCTCCATAGCTGTTGTATTACATCATAAGACCCAATGTCTTTCAACACTCGATTATTGATATAACATACGGATCCGTATGGTTTAGGATTATCACCTACTACATCAACACGACCGGCTTCAACAAAATCAGGTATTTGAATGTCATGATTATGAGTGGTCCACGTTTCGTTAAAAAGTAAAATATCTGAGCAACTATAAACATTATCTGTAGTAATCCTGTTGACATGAGCTGCTAAACTTTGAACATTGTGACTTATCAACTGTATTCTGCTCTTATTGAGGTCTTGCAAATGCAAAAATACAGGATTGAGCTTTACAGATTCTTGTCTAATCAACTCCAAGGATATACTCTCTGTAGGTTTTGGTGGGAGTGTTGGTTTAAATGCATCGTTTTTGATTATAAATAACCCATCCGCACTAGTGGCTCGAGAACACGCAACATACAAAGAAGATCTTGTCGGTAAGGGTCCTTTGGATAAATCAAGTACAACATTTTGATAAGTGGCTCATTGACTCTTGTGGATAGTTAAAGCCTCTGCCAACACCATGGGAAACTGAGTTCTGTTAATTGACAGCTGACCCTTTTTTCCTCTTTGAAATTTGTTTGAAACAGGATCGAAAGGAGTCCAATCGGATGGATAGCCTTTACTTTCTCTTAAGTTTCTGAATTGCATTCTTCGTTTTTGCCCGCTTGAATCATTTTCCATCTTTAGCCATAGCCGTAAAGGTATATAAACTGCATCAGCAACATCTCTACCAGAATTTACTGGTAATCCCAAGTCTACTTTTTTAAGATATCCGGTTGTACCATTTACCAGACCATCAAGAGTGTCAATGTTACTTGTGATCATGTACCTTGCCTCAAGTTGAAGTTGTAGCTTCGTTGCTAATCCGGCGGTTTTTTGATAAGGCAGGTCACTATTTGACGCATAGTCTAGCAATGCTTTTCTACCAGCCACGTTGCCACCTTGCCCATGAACCTGATCAAATGCTATCGAAACAAACCGCTCTGTTTTCATGATACTGACAATTTCTTCATTACATTGATTTACAAGTGCATTCGTTGGATACAGTCTAACCAAATTTCCCCTTTCAATAGCATGAGCTGGTACTGACTTAAATGTGCGACTTTGAAATAAAGCAATGTCATCTTCTGTCATGGTACCACGAGCCATGTTGTTTAGTGCCACAGCAAATTTAGCATCATCTCGTTGCCTCATGATCTGGGTCAGCCTATGAATGTGGAATGAATGCCATAATTCTGTTACCCGAAGATGCTTTGTTGGGTTTTTAGGAAAGCCAGAGTAAATAGCGGAATCATGCACGGGTGGTAACTGCAAGAAATCACCAAATACAAGCATATGTAATCCTCCAAATGGCTTGTCATTACGGAAAATTTCACGAAGTCGCTTATCAATCCATAGGAATTGTCTCGAACTAATCATACTAATTTCGTCCAAAATAACTACCTTGAGTTCAGACATCTCAACCGACAAACTGTTGGACACATCAGCTGATAAGTCATTTATATCCTCTTGGTTGATTGGAAGATGAAATAAGGAGTGTATTGTTTGCCCGTTTATATTGTATGCCGCTTTACCAGTAAATGCACATAGCGCTACCGAAGATTTTTGTAAATCTCTATCCCTATCCTCATCATAAAATCTGATCAAAGACTGGTAGAGAGCTCTGATCAAAAGACTTTTACCAGTACCGGCACCACCAGTGATAAACAGATGCAAAGGTGTTAATTTGCAATCTTCATGTCTGACATGATTGATTATGTGATTAAAACAGTTCCTTTGCTCACAGTTTAAAAGACTTAAAAGAGTTTCGTATGCCGTATTCTCAAGTTTATCTGGCCTAGCAAATCCTTCTGATGATGGAGTGCTTGAGGCGCTGGATCTTTCTCTCGACTGGGTACCTGTACCAGATCTTGTTTGTAAATTAATATCTGTTTCATCCGGCATAGTGTACATGCTGAAATCATTGATATTATTCCCATCAACTGGTTCTTCTTCTAGTTCTTCTTCGTTTAAACATTCACCTCCTTCCTGTCTCATATCAGCTTGTTCCATGTAGTTTAAAATTGTCTGGTCCGGTATTTTGCTAAATTCTGATATATTGTCGTATATTTGTTCTGAATTTTCTTCAAATAGCAGTTTACAATTGACATCATCTAAATCAGTTTTCTGATTATACCAAGGAAAGTAAAGCATGATTACTGAGTAAAAATAGCTATCGGGATCTTTTTCGATATTGTTTCTAAAGTATTTTATAATTTTTGGTCTTCCTCGTTTCTTCACATAACCAGTGTCATTTTTTAATGGTATCCAGTTACTGTCGACATTGTCGGTACCTTGGATAAGATCGATATCTTCATCAGGCTGTGCGTCGTCATCCTCTTCGTTTACACTTGTAATCCTCTTGTTTCCTCTTTCTTTCTTTGAATATTCGTACCAAGCACAGAATTGAGCAAGATTCAAATCTTTCAAAGTATCAGGTCTTGACTGGTAGTGTTCCACCCATCCTCTTTGATATACATCAGTCGAGTTTTCGGGTAGCTGCTCTAATTTGGCCTTAGGTTTAAGCATCCTTGATCTAGAAGATTCTGGGCCTGTAGGAATATAAATAGTTTTGGCACTCGTCTCAACCATTTTTAATTGTAGAAGATTATAGAGGCCTCTTGTGCGGAAACTTCATTTAAATTATAAAACTTCGATGTCAGATTTCTCAGAATTGTTTTTGTAGGTGAGCCTTCTTCGATACTTTCGGTTAAGATTTTATCTAAGACCTGAGTCATGCCTTTGTCTGACTTATTAATGTAGTCCACCACATAGATACAACAAGCATAGGGGTCCATAATATATTGAATATCAATGTTTGCACGATGCATACTGAGTATTAAAGGACTGTAGTTGTTGATGATTATTTCCGCGACACTTCTTTTCAACATAACTTTGCTGCATGAAATTGTAGTTTGAATAGCTTTGAGATAATGCTCCAAATCCATATCCAGTTCTGAAAGGAACTCATCAAATGTCATACTTGAATTCAGTAACATTGCTTGATTTTCTTCTAAATATTTTCTGATTTTTTTTCCAGATTTGGCATACTCTTCTTTAGTCTCAATCTCGTCACCAGTCAAACAATCGTCATCCAGAAAAGGGTGAACAACTCTTGTTTGATCCATTGGAAAAAAGGTATACCAAACCTGCATATCTTGACACCAAATCTAATTCCTTTTTTCCAACAAGTGTGCGAATGTCTGTGAGTTTGTCGTGATTCTACCAGACTTGCCAAAACGGGATCCTCAGTGTTGCCAACCTTTTTGCACGAAATAATTTTATCAACAAACTGACAAACATCTGACTCGTTATTTTTCTCGGGATCATAAATTGGTGCATCTTTCAACCAAGCCATCATATGAACGTGTGGACTGCCACGGTTCTGAAATTCGATACGGTAGTAGTAATCTTTCATTGCAAAATTTCCGAAAGGGCCATGCGGAGGCTTCCAAGTGGATTTAAGATGACGAAATCTTCTGTCAAAATATCTCGAGCAGGTGGGTGCGTCTGACTGAATCAAACGGTATACATCTGCTGAGGGTATCCGTGCCGCTTCCTCCTCCGTCATGTCCTCGCCATCGACAACTTTCTTCAAAATTACTATAAGTTCTAGCCATTTTGTTTCCGCCGCCGATAAAGTAATGAAAAAGGTTGGTATACCCAGCTGTCTTATCATAGCCATCAAATTTGATTTTTCAGTCTTCCAATAGGCCGGAGAGCTTCTAACAGTGTTAAAAACTTGAAAAGCCTCATCTTTACCAATCATTTTCTGAAGTTTCTCTTCATCCAACGCAGTTGATGCATTAACCTCAGCTGCCGAACCTGATCTGGACTTTCGCATCAGTTACAGACACTTTTGATACCAAATTTAGTAACAGTCTTTTGGAATCCATATAAAAAAGAAAATCTGTTCTCACTGCTCTTCTATCATGATGACGAACCATAGACTTACAAATACTGCTATAGGTCACATCTTTTCCATTATGTGTAGGAGCTAGTTTTTCTCCAACAAAAATTTTAGGAAAAGACAACGGTTCGCTATCCTCATCAGTCAATAGAGAAAGTGGTGTAGCACCATCTCCAGGGGCCATCCGTATACCATCCGCACCCGAAAAAAAGGTCTCACTTCCTCCCACCGGTATGTCATCTTCGGTTATTCCACCTGATTCCAAATCATCACAATCAGTTTGTTCAGAATTTAAACTGGTGTCCTCTTCATTCAAAGCCTCAGCCAATGTTTCTAACCAATCTCTATTGATAGTGATATTATGCTTTTTATAAACAGTACTATTCATCAAGTACAATACTGCTTCCCAA